TTATGCATAATACACTCATTCAATATCTCGTCATATTAACAGTGCGGATAACACCGTTTCATTCTAAATGAGAATGACATGTATTAGTAATATTCTAATTAAAGATTCTGAACTTTAATTAAATTTATTACGAACATTGCTTTTTGATTATTATTCTTAAACATTATCCTCTCGTGTGCAACACTTATATACAATGTTTAAGGTCACATAAATAATCATAGAATTTTCATTTGATATTCATAAAATATTCACAAATATATGCACATAAAATGATGAATAAACTATTTTATTAAATAAATAATAAATATCCTGCAACATATTAAGCTTCTATAGTAGAGTCAGCAACACACTTTTTCTTTACACTTCTCCATACCACAGCTCTTCCATTAAGAGTGAACACATGGTGCACACATGGTGTACACGCCTAACACAGTATGAATCCCTTTGGGATTCAGTCGCTTGCTTTTTAAGTTATCCAATTGACTTATTTGATAAGTTGTCAAATTGAAATTGAAATTAAATTAAGTTTGACTTAAATTGGAATTAGAATTTGAGTCAAAATTGGACTACAGGATAAAGAAAAATTTTTTCTCCTACCCTATCTGCTATTTACACCTACTACATGGAGCAATATTCCTGTGGTGGCTGGCCCTATGGGATAAGGGAGAGGGGGAATTTTGTTTCTAAAATCAATTCGAAGTGGGAGATAAAGTTTAGCATTATTCTGGGAGTCTAACTACTACTTTATAAATAAGATATTGCAGGAAATTAGAGAACACAATTTTTGCTCTCCTTAGCATAGTGTGGCCGGTTTTATAGAGTGAGGAAAGAAAAAATTTCTCTCAAAATTCTACGTCATGCATGTGCTGGTGTTCGTGGAAAACTTCTGTGTTTTCTTTCTAATCTCAGTTTGCTTCAAGTGTACCCACATACACATCTTCGTAGATTCAAGGAATTGAGGAGAAAGATTCAGGTATTTTGAACAAGCTTGTAGCGAGGAACGTATGTGGTCAAAGAACTCAAGTCGTTCGCTAGGTAAATAAATTAATTTAATTAAATTTTTTGTGCATAAATTAATATAATCTATAAAGTATCTCAAAGGCTTGTAAATTTTTTTATTATACACGATCCTCTAGATACACGTGTCCACATAGAAAATTATTTTCAAAACCAACAGCAGTGACTTCGATTCTGAATCCTGTCACCAAATAAATAACTTATTCTGACTTCGAATCTTTCCCACTCTAAATTCTGTCCACTCTGATTCATGCCCATTCCGATTATGCGTAAGTAAACATGCCATTAATAAGTCCTCCAAAAACTATTGCTATTTCCTTCTTATAATTTTTAGAATAAAATAAATATAACAAAAAATAACATAATTATTATCTTGATATAATTAATCTCACTGGTGCTCCTTGAACTTTAAAGTAATTTTCACTTTGTCTCCTATACCTTAAAAACTCTCACTTTGCCTTTAAATTTTGAATTTGTCACAGTTAAATCCTTTTGTAGGAGTTTCTGTTAAAATCGGATGAAAAAAGAGGGGATCAAGTGTGATAATGTAGTTTTTAATAAAAATACAAGTAGAAAGACATTGTGATTGTATTATTCTCTTTTTTATTTGTTTTTAATAGAAACTACAACAGAAGGGATTTAGTAACAACAATGCAAAATTCAAAAGTAAAGTTAGAGTTTTTAAAATTCAGTAGATAAATTGAAAATAACCCTAAAGTTGAGAAGATATTAGTAATAATATTTCTATATAATAATATAATTATTATTTTTTGATGGAATATAATTATTATTTTAATGATATAAATTTGCTATTTTCATAATATTTTAAGAATTTTGCTATATTTTGAACTCCACTATTGGAATTTTATTTTATGTAAAGAGCCCTTTTAAAATATAGTAAAATTTGGGTTTAATTTTTATTTGTAAAGGCTCTTTTCAGGACATAATTAAAAAGAGTTATATACATAAATGTCTACTTAAGACACCTTAAATCTAAAAATATCGATTATTTAATTTATTTACAAAATTGTCTCCTACCACATATACAAAGACGTTAATTTCCTCACATAATTAAAAATGAATAAAAATAATGAAGCATCAAAATAGGTACGTTCTGCCGCTTCTTCATTCATCCATCTAAGCATTGAGTGAGACGAGAATCCATGAGCGTGTTGGAACTCGTTTCAAAATAATTTTATTTTTTGTATGAAAATAAAAATAAAAACGTTTTTAATCTCAGACAGAAATAATTTTTAAAAATGTGTTTGATAGTTTTATTAATATATTATTTTCAGTGTAAAAAATTCATTAACATCCATCTTTCTCTCTTTATACTTGAGAGAGGAGAAAATGAAAATAAAAAATAAAAAAACGATTAAAAGTCGTTTTTCATTTCTCTTTCATTTTACACAAAATCAAAAAATCGTTTTCATTTCTGTTTTTTGTCTTTATTGTGCCAAACGTCATTTTGGAAATGTTTTCATTTTTTCTTTCTCAAAAAACATGAAAAATAAAAACATGATCAATTCCAAATACGGCCTATTATTTAAGCTCCTCGAATTCAGACTCTTGAAAATAAAACTTGATATGAAATAATCCAATTTTGAATAAAGAAGTCAAATAAAATTTGAATATATGCATTTAATGAAATTTGTCTATTTTTATAAGTGGGAAGTTTATTTTACAGAATTAATAAAATATTCTTATTTGTTTTTTTTATAGAAAAACACGTGTATCATAATTATCAATAGTCATTATGAAATGAATATTAAAGTAAAATACAAAAGAGATAAAAGAGATAATGATTTAGTAAGAATGAATATTCATTTTCGTTATAAAACATAACTTGTCATAAATAAGAAACACAAAAATATAATCAATATGAACAATTTTCATTATCTTAACAGAGTTATTATCATCAAACAGACTGAAAATAAAGGTTTCTTGAAATCTCAAAAAATAAAAATGCAACAGATATGAACATATAAATTAAGCAGTTTCATTATTATAATGACAATATCATTATGCACAAGAATATGTACAACAGTTTGCAATAAAACATGAACGAAGATTAGAAATGGTCTTAATGAATTCATCAGATCCGAGCAAGCAGAATATGTTAACAAAACCTGACAATAAATCGTCATTATGAAATGAATATAGAAAGTAAAATACAAAAGAGACAATGTTGTACAAATGAATTTTAAACAATATCATTATCCAACAGATTTTGTAATTATAAGAAAGAGTAAAATGTACTCAACAATAAGCAATTGCAGTATTATAACAGAGCTATCACCATCAAACAGTCTAAATTAAAGTTTTAAAGGAACCTCAAATTTGAAAATGCACGAGAAATGAACTTAAAAAAAGCTGTTTCATTATGGTAAGTACTATATCATTATAAAAAGGAATGAATTTAACGATTTGCAATAAAATCCAACGAAATTTTTTTAACAAAATCAACAGGAAAGAAGATCATATATACACCAACGAATTTTTTAACAAAATCAACAGGAAAGAATATCATATATACAGTTAACAAATTCATCAGACCCAAAAAAAATGTAAACACGGCCGTTATTCTTGAGCAAGAAACAAAAACCATATAAAAAATGAAAGTCTATAAAAATATATCATAAAAAACCTACTATTTATTATCATAAAAAATCCTAATATATTCAGAAAAAATAATTAATCAAATCAAATTAATTGCAATATATTAAATGGGGTTGAAAAGGAAAGTCCAAATCTTAATATATTCATAAAAAACCCCAATGTAATCACGAAAAATAAGTTTTTAAAAATGTAGAAACTCACTATATAAGTAACATACTAAAAATAGTCAATAAGAGCATGTTAGGAATTATATTTGCTTCGGTGCCCTTGAAGTTTGAGATCATTCTCAGTTTGCTTACTGAACTTTAAAAACTCTCACTTTATTCTTTGAATTTTAAATTGCTCTCACTTAACCCTTTTGTTGTAATTTCTATTAAAGTCAGACAGAAAAAAGGGGGATAAGTGTGGTTATATAGTTTTGTTCTGTTTCGTTTTAACAAAAATCTAAACAGAAATAGCACGTGATTGCATTATTTTCTTTTTTATCTGTTTTTAATAAAAATTACAACATAATGAGTTAAGTGAAAATAATTTAAAGTTCATGGGACAAAATGAGTGTTTTAAAAGTTCAGAAAATAAATTGAGAATAACTCAAAAATTCAAGAGACATTAGTGATAATAATCTCATTTGCTTCATCACGTACAAGTAGATAGTTTTATAATATTGTGCTTAAAAACCCTCGGGTAATCTTGAAAAATATTACTTGAAAATATATGAATCATAATTTTTACTCTTTACTCTTAATTCATAACCTTTTTTAGTTAAATAATTACAATAACACAAGACTATTTATCAAAATTAAGGGTAAAAGTCTAAATTCATGCAAGGTAGAGAAAGAGAAAAATAGCCACGACTTGAGATGAATTAAAATTAATAGGCCAATAGTTTACATAAGTTAATAAATAGGCTAAATTACTGTTTTCGTCCATAACTTGTCTGGTTATGAACCATAACTTGACAATTTATTGTCCATAACTTATCTGATTATGAACCATAACTTGACAAGTTTATCCATAATTTATCTGGTTATGAACCATAACTTGACGAGTTATGACCTATTAATTTATATAACTAAAAACTGATCTATATATTTTCTTAAGCTTTTTCATATTGCATATTTCCTACTATTTCCCATTTTTCATTTTTTCATAACCAAACCCTGAAAGGCCCAAGACCCGGATCCGAAACAATATAGACCCGAATTAGAGCAAGCGACCCGACTCTGTCTGTTGGCGCAGGCGTAGAGGCTGAAACTTGATTGTTGAGTAATGACGTTCACAGAGAGTACACAAAATATGATATCATGGAAAATTGAAATTTTAAATTCAGATTTTCTTCTCTTTTATTTTAGGGTTTTCATCATCTCCCATTTCAATTTCAGATTCTGGGTTTTCTCCTCTTTCGTCGTTTGAATTTCAAATTTCAATCAACGGAAAACAACAACGCCATCAGGTATTTCATTCACCTCATGTATTAGCATTTTTTTTTCCAAATCTAAAAATTGTGGATTGAACTGGGTTTGTTTTCTTTTCTTTCTTTTTTCTTTTTAAATTTTATTTATTTATTTATTTATCATCGGATTGTATTTATTCCGTTTTTCTTTAACTGGGTATTTTCCGGTTTCCGGTTCATTTATAAATTTTCAAGGTTGACTTATTTTCTCGTTTCACACAGGTGATTCGATAGTTTAAGTTGATAATTTGTTTTTTTTCCCTTTTTTTTAGGCATCAAATAATTTGTGTCTGCAAGAAAATAATAAAATGTTGGTGATGTATATTTTCAATTTTAAATTTGGCACTTTTATGGGAATGCTAATTTTTGTGTCGTTTCATTCAATTTACATCTTAGCTTTACTAGTGCTTTGAAATTTAGCCACAATATCTGAGGTTTATTATCATTCTTGTTCAAGTTTTCGTCAGCGTGCAAAATATTTCCTTTGTATTTTTTCTCAGGTTTTTGTTAACCTTCCAATTTTTACTGTCAATGTTAGCATATATATGATATATATGTATGTATTTGTTTGTGGTTTTAGTGGATGGATTTGGGTTTCTTTTAACTTGTGCTTTACTTACATAGAGGCTTCTCATGTTTTGATTTCCTTTCAATGCTGATGCTTCTAACACAAGATTTTCGTAGTTATTTGCTAATTCTCCTTTATATTACTTATTAGTTTAGGCCTTTAGGAGGCTCCAAATAGACTTATTGGAGGTGAGTGGCAGTTTACACCAAAAGATGTGGAATATGGACGACATCGACATGGATATCATCAATCAGATCAATCAGGTAAGCGAAGTACCGGACACGCCGGATAGGGTCGTTGCACGACGTTGTACTGGCAGGGAGTCCGTCCGAAGAGACTCTAATTCCTTATTGCATGGAAACTTTAGAAATAGGGATAAGCTGGTGACGGAGGATAGGCATCATACTAGAGGACCCATTACGTTTCAGCAAAAATGTTGTGGAAATCTTGAAAATGCAAATTGCAGTGACGTTAATGCCCCAAATGATGGCTTATGTAGGAGACCGGCTGCAGATAGAAGCTATGGTCACAGGGCCAATCATTCTAGTGGAACTAGGAACATGGATAAAGGGAAATCCATTAGCACTGATAGATCTTCTGGTTACCAAGTTGAATTAATGAATCAAAATGACTATAGCGAACATCGCAATGCGGTTTCATATGGTGCACCGGAACAGATTGTGGCTGAAGATAAGAGACAAGGTCAAGTAGCGTCACGTGGTACTTCTTTTGGGCCATGCATCCCAGACTTTCCAGAGCAACTTAGAAGTTGGATTAAAGGGAAGGAAACAATTGACGAAAATGCTCTAAAAAGTCCTGGCTTAGCTATGGCTTGCAGAGAAGCAGTCAATATGTCCACTGATTCTCAACATAAAGGCAGGGAACATACGCCTGCTCGTTCTTTTAGAACTAGATACCCAGGGAAAAAAAATTTGGTGAGAAATGGGTGTATTTCTCCACAAAATATTGCAAAAGCCGAACAGCTTAAAAACACTTCCGAAAACATTGAACAGAGACATGCTTGGAATGGGGATTTTAATCGTCCACGGTCCCCTGTAACTGACATGAGTGATATAGTCGCTGAAGAAAATGGCAGGGGAAGAGCAAAAGGAAAAGCCGTACTTACTATTCCTGATGCATCAAAGGAACAATTTCGTGGATTTAGCAGGTAATTTGTTACATATTTTTTTCTTTGAATTTTTTGTCATCATTTTTCTTGCATAATATTTTTCGCAAGTATCTTTCATTCGAACATCATCACAGAGTTGGTGAATGTGAGAATTGGAGATGAAAATATTTCTATCTCTAATTGATGAAGGTTATGTACATCTCTATATAATGAAGGGAGACAATTGCCCTTTCACTATAACTGGAAATAATAAACTAATTACACATAATCAGGAAATTAACATAAAACAGGAAACTAATCAAAATAGGAAACTAACTAATAGAGATATTAGGAAAGATCCCAAATCTCTTTGGGCCTGTTCGGTTGCCTTAACTGACTCAGATTATTTGTACTCGAGTGAATAACTTGGGCATAGTTTGCGTTCAGCCTTAGCTCACTCGAACCAACACTCGAAAGTTTATTCGAGTCAACCACCCATTCTCGAGTTTACCCTCCTCCCATCAATTCGAGTTTACTCTACTGCTCATAATGTTCTCTCTCCTCTCTCTCTCATCACCATCAATATCATCTTCAACATTTTCTCTCTCTAAACTCCTCCATTCCCGAGCTCTCTCGCATCCCCACCACCACCACCACCACCACCACCATGTCCATAAACCTCCGATCCCACGCCTTCGCCGGCAACCCGCTCCGTTCCAACACCCCAAAATCCGGCGACCCATTTTTTCCTCAAGCTCTCGAGACCCTCAAGACTCCGCCTTCTGGATAGCGGCCACGTGGCGGCTTCTACGGATTTCAAGGTCTTGCCGTTCAAGAAAGGGAGGCCCTTGGCGTCGTCGTCGTCGGGGATTTGGAAATTGGGGTGGATTGGGTTGTGGGATTGCAAGGAATTGTTGGCGAAGTCCGGGGTTGAGATGGTGGGAGATTCTGTCGTTTATCTGGGTTCGAGGGCGGAGGATGTTGTTATTGGGCGGTTGATGTGTCTGGGGAGAGTGGGTTGGTGCTTGAAGGCTTTTTTTGTTGTTTTTTTTGCTTTCTTTTTGGTTTAATTGTTGTTTAGAAGGCTTTTTTTTCTTTTTGGAAAAATTTCATAAATAGCTCTGAACCTGAATTATGAACGTAGTTAAAATGATGATGTGGTATTGTCAATTGCATAAAATTAAATAAATTCAAATAAGGAAAAAAATATTTTTTTCTCTCCCCACTATTCACAACTCAAGTCTTATTATACACCTAAACACAAACTCAAAAAGATTCACATCTCAAACAATAACTCAAATGTACACAACCAAACACAAACTCAAGTTACAACTTTATCTCAAGTTATAATTGAAATTCAACTCAAGAACTACAGTCAAGTCACACTCCAAAAGAACAGGCCCTTTATTCCTAAATTACATAATCAACTATTCTAAAATCCTTGAAATCGGGGATTAGATTTTGATATTTCCACAGTGAATGATATAGATCCCACTAATTGTCATGTATTTCTTAATGTAGTGCATGAACAATAATTTGAATGCTTGTTGTCTGTTTAACCTATTTCTGATTTACTACTGATGCCAGCAACTTTTCTGGATTATTTATGTAGTTTTTCGTTTCAAATTGAAGTATCGTAAGGTCTTATAGCTTTTTAAAATTTCTGCAGTAGCCTTGCAAACCATAATGGGGAGGCAAATGGATTAAGTGATGCTAGTAGAGATGCATTTGGATCAGCTGGTTGGAGAAGTACTCGTGATCGATCAAGGAACATAGAGAACACTGTAAATGATACAGCCAGACATCTTTCTAGGAGAACCGGTGGCGCCGGAAGCTTGTTTCGTCGACAACATGAAAATGGGGTGAACAGAAGAGATATTAGTAGTCGACCAACTCCAGGGAATGAATGTGATCATGCAGTAGGTCAAACTGCTGCTCTAAGAGATCCTTTTGTGTCTGAAACAGAACAGTCAGGTGGGGCTCCTGGTGCGGACAATGCATTTAACAAGAGGCTTAAGAAATTTGGATCTTCTTCCAGGAACCACGGCGGATGCTCCACATCCATATCTGAAGACTCGGATGTCATGTTTCTTGTTTCATCCAGGGAACCAGTGAACTCAAGATCATCCAGGGTTCATCATTCACAATCCCGGGCTACTTTAGGTCCCGTTATTGATGTTGATGCATTTTCGCCTCCAGTCAGACACTCTACACCACAAACTATTGATAGTACAAGTAATGATGACTCTGAGGCTAGGGCAAGACAAGTTGAAGCAGATGAGATCTTGGCCCGTGAACTCCAAGAACAATTATATCATGAGACGCCTTTAGCCAGAGGAGGCAATGTAGGTTTTCCTGATAACCATTTTGCAATCAATTTTCTCAGGTGCTTCGTTTCAATAGACATTTCATAGTTCTGCACTTTTTGCAGATTGATGCGGAATTTTTGGCATGGGTAATGCAGGAAGAGGACAGTGGATCTAATACTTCTGGTGCCGGACAAAATGAATCACATGCTGTGAGTGATTTAGCTTTGCCTTATTTTGTATTTAATGTGTAATTTGTGATGTTATGCCTATCAAAATATAAAAGTAAGATCTTATGTGTATCAAATATTCTGAACATAATGCGGTCTCTGATACTGATGATTTTTTGGATTGATGAAAAAAGGGAGTGATGTGATGAGGCCTTATTCTGCTAGCAATCTAAAACTCAACTTCAAAAGATATCATGTTTATGATACCTAAGATATTAGATGTCGCCAGGGAGTTTCTACAAATGATCAATTATGTTTGGACGGCGGGCTTGTGGGGGTTTATATTTTATGTGCTTCAAGAATAGTCTGCTGATTATTTTGTTTCATTTTGCGACTTTTGTTTCGCAAGACTTGCTAACACAGTTTGGTTTGTATTTTTGTAGAGAGGCTCGGTGATATCGCACCTCCACAGACAGCCAAGGTCACGGACTTTTCAAAACCGATCAAATAGAACTCAAAACCAACCAAATAGAAGATGGGCTCAGACTCGTGTCCCTAGCTCTTCTAGAATGGCGCAGATGAGGGGTCGTAGTGGCAGGCAACGTCCTGCTGTATTTTCCAGTGCCAGTGACCTGCACTTTCCTTTAGGCATGGATTTGGACATGGTATCTTCTTTGATCCCTTCTTTATGTTTCCTTTCACTATTTATTGGGCTTTTTTCACGGTGTGTAATATCATGCCGGATTATAGTTTTAATAGATTAGCGTGCTTATTATAATAATCTGTGCAAGTTATATTTGGAGACTGTGTTTGACTTGAAGCGTGCAAAGATAGATTAGCCTCTATTTAGCAATGGAACTTTTAATTTACCATTACCTGCATCAAATGAAATTTTTTTTTTTTTTTTTTTTTTTTTTTTTTTTTTAAAAAAACGATATTGGGATACATTTAAGGAAGAAAAAATGAATTGTCATTTGGAAAATAAAGTTTCTAGATATTTCTTTCGAATAAAAAATTTTTTTTTTTTTTTTTTTTTTTTTTTTTTTTTTTTTTTTTTTTTTTTTTTTTTTTTGTAAAAAAACGATATTGGGATACATTTAAGGAAGAAAAAATGAATTGTCATTTGGAAAATAAAGTTTCTAGATATTGAAGACATTTTTTAGCTTCTAATAGTTATGGGCACATTTTGCATGCACCTTAGAATGTTTGGATGTAATTGTTTAAATATATGGGGTGAGTTATAAGAAAGTAAAAATACATTTTTGTCTACTTCTTAAATTGGTTTGTGTGGAATATAATCATCATTAGCATATATGTTAGTTTACCAATCCATCCAAAAAACTTAAGCTATTAGGAAGTGGGCCAACAATAGTTTTATACTTTAACACTCTCCCTCATGTGTGGGCTGGACAATGGACAATCGTGTGGGTAAATTAATTGGAAAGCCCAACACGTGAATATTTAAGCCCGAGATATATTAAAGACCCAACACATGATGATAATTTAAATGGGGATAAAGAGTGCAATTACGAGAGTTTGAACTCAGGACCTCCCGCTCTGATACTATGTTAGTTTACCAATCCATCCCAAAAACTTAAGCTATTAGGAGGTGGGTTAACAATAGTTTTATACTTTAACAATATACTGATAAGCCCCCGTGCGTTTTACTTATGTTCGGAGGAAACACCACCACGAGCCAAGGTTGGCAGCTGAAACTCAAGTGGTTGCTGAGGTGGAGGATATTACTCGGGGAGGGGAATAGGGATAGGCTGAGTCAGCAGGCAGTTACTAGTTAGTTAGTCTTGGAATTAGTGAGAGGAATAAGGCTTAGTAGTATAAATAGATTAGGAGGTAGAATAAAGGGGCATCGATTCATTTGCACAACTTCTGAGAAGTGGAAACCTAGGAGAGCAAGGGATCTCTCGAAAATCCCCTTATCTTCCTGTAACCAATCTGCCGCCATTAATACAAATCAAGTTTCTGTTAGTTTTCCTTTGAATTCTGTCAAATTACTACTAACCGAGAAATAGGAGCTTATCATATACTTTCTATGTGGTAAACTCTATATTCAAGAAAATATTGCAGTTGCCTACACTAGAACCAGTACCCATATTTGTGTTCTTTAGATTGTACCCTTTTTGGTGTTTCATTACCGTTCTAGTAGTGAGATACCTTATCCTCCCCATTTGCATTAGTCTTTTCTGATCATTATTGTAGGAAATTAGAAGATTTTATCTTTTCAGTTTTTGAATTAAAGAGCCAAATCCCTTAGTTTGGGATTAGGATCCTAGGAGATAGGGAATTCCGGTTTTTCTAGATAAACACGGGATCTAGATAGGTTTGGATAAGATAAGAGCTTATTTGAATTTCTATGAGCTGTCAAGGGTACTTGGTATCCTATAAATTAGGTTTACGTTACACTAATAATAATAATAAGAGAAAAAAGTAAGTTTTTCCCTTCAAAACCTTCATGGTATCAGAGCCTTAGGGTTCTTATCTTAGGGCAGAATGGCAAAAACAGCCATGACAGGCATAAATAGAGCCCAAACCTCATCTGAGGTAACCTCCGAAAACAGCCTAGATAGCTCCCCTGTTATTGGTGTTGACAGTATAACAACCGGTACATCCCTACAGATTTCCATTCCAAAATTTAATGGGAAAAACTACCTTGAGTGGTCCCAATCGGTGAAGCTTGTGCTTGATGGCAGAGGAAAATTAGGGTTTCTTACCGGGGAAGAAAAACAACCCCAGGAGAAAGATTCTGGCTTTAAAAGATGGAGGTCAGAAAATTCTTTGGTGACAGCATGGTTACTAAACACCATGGAAACAGCAATTGCAAAACCCAACATGTTCCTACCAACCGCCAAGGCTGTGTGGGATTCAATTCGGCAGACCTACTCTGATTTGGAAAATTCTTTACAGATCTTTGAATTGAAATCAAAACTGTGGAAATCTAAACAAGGAGACCGTGAGATCACAGTATACTACAATGAGATGGTAGCCCTTTGGCAGGAATTGGATTAATGCTATGATGATGAATGGGAGAATCCGAATGATTGTGCAAGGTATATGAAGCGTGAAGTGAATGATCGTGTCTACATGTTTCTTGCAGGAGTTAATCAAAGTCTAGATGAGGTAAAATGAAGGATTCTTGGTCGAAAACCCCTGCCCTTTATCCGAGAAGTTTTTTCAGAAGTACGACAAGAAGAAAATAGGAGAAGAATCATGTTAAACAGCACAGCACCAACCCCAGAACCTGAGAATTCCGTACTAGTCTTCCGCAACTCAGGAGGATCTGACATAGAAGGTGAACGGAAAAAACGCCCGTGGTGTGATCATTGTCGGAAACCATGGCACACTAAGGAGACATGCTGGAAACTTCATGGAAAACTAGCAAATCTCAAGAAAAAACCAGAGGGGAATGGCAGGGCGTTCAAGACTACTACGGAAGACTCTCAAGAGCAGCCCATTGACTCGGAAGTGTTACCTTTCACTAAGAAACAATTAGAGCATCTATATAAACTCTTTAAATCTCCACAATTTACTGTCAATTCTTCATGCTCACTTGCAACCCAAGGTAATTCGTATGTCACAGCCCTTTCTAGTCTAGGTTCTTTCTCCTCTAGTCCATGGATTATAGACTCTGGAGCAACAGATCATATGACAAACTACTCACATCTCTTCTCGTCCTATAGTCCTTGTGCAGGAAACAGGAAAATTAAAATTGCTGATGGATCTTTTTCGGCAATAGCCGGGATTGGTTCAATCAAAGTTTCCTCTCTCGTAACTCTTAATAATGTGCTTCATGTCCCAAAATTGTCATGTAACCTCTTATCTATTAGTAAGATAACACAAGATCTTAAGTGTCAAGCTAATTTTTATCCAACTCATTGTGAGTTTCAGGAACTAGCCTTGGGGAGGATGATTGGCAATGCTAAGGAAAATGGAGGACTCTACTTTTTTGAAGAAGGACCAACTCCGAGTAAACCAGTCCAAAGTTCATGTTTTGAAGCTATGTCTCTTTCTAGGAATCATGAAATTATGTTATGGCATTATAGACTTGGTCATCTAAGCTTTTATTATTTAAAACGTTTGTTTCCATCTTTATTTCTCAATAAGAATCCTTCTTCATTTCAGTGTGAAATTTGTATTCTTGCAAAACAACATCGATCTTCTTATTCTCCACAACCATACAAACCCACTAAACCTTTTCCCCCAATCCACGGTGATGTTTGGGGCCCCTCACGAACTTCTAATCTTTTCGGGAAAAGATGGTTTGTCACATTTATAGATGACCACACTAGAGTAAGTTGGGTTTATTTGTTGAAAGAAAAAACAGAAGTTGAAGGAGTTTTCAAAAACTTTTAGACTATGGTACACACTCAATTTAATGGAAAAATTCAAGTCTTTAGAAGTGATAATGGAAAGGAGTTTTTTAATAATATTTTGGGGAATTTTTTTTACTGAAAAGGGGATTATTCACCAAAGTTCATGTAATGACACCCCTCAACAAAATGGAGTAGCTCAGAGGAAAAATAAACACCTTCTAGAAGTTGCTAGAGCCTTACTTTTCACACATAATGTTCCAAAATATCTTTGGGGTGATGCCATTCTCACAGCTACCTATCTCATTAATCGAATGCCCTAAAAAATTCTAGATTTTCAAACTCCTTTGCAAATCTTCTCGAAAGCCTTTCCATTCTCTAGGGTCTTATCAGACTTGCCTATTAAACACTTTGGATGCACTGTTTTTGTTCATAACACTGATCAAAACCGAAGTAAACTAGATCCTAGAGCCAAAAAATGTGTCTTTGTAGGCTATGCTCCAACAAAAAAGGGATATAAATGCTATGACCCTATTTCAAAAAAATTGTTTGTCTCTATGGATGTCACTTTCTTTGAAACACAGCCGCTTTTCAAGTCTCCTCTTCAGGGGGAGAAAAATAGTGAAGATCCGACTTGGGATAAAATAGAGCACTTGGTGACTGAAGTTCCTTTCCAGCCTGAACAAAATTTGATTTCAGAATCTGGTTCTAAACAATCACTAACAAACTCGGTTTTAACTCAAAACCAGGAAGACCAAAGTCTCATTCCAGCAGAAAATAATGGTCCTTTAGAAGGAGATGCAAATAAAAAGAAATTTGGACTGGTTTACTCTCGAAAGAACTTGACTCATGGAAGGGAGTTTGAAATTTTCCAGCAAAGCCGAAACTCCAACCCGAGGCAGGACCAAAACCTTGTGAATGCCCCTTCTCCTGTCCAAGATTATACAGGTATCTCTCCTCCCTTAAACTCCATTCCCGGAGAAACAACTCTCAATAATCTCCCAATTGCTGTTCGAAAAGGGGTTAGATCATGTACTAAGTATCTAATGTCCAAATTTGTGTCCTATGAAAAATTGTCCCCAATGTTTTCTTCCTTCACTACTCAACTCTCACTTGTGGAAATTCCAAAGAATGTTCAAGATGCTTTACAGGTCCCTGAGTGGAAGGAGGCAGTTCTAGAGGAAATGAGGGCTCTCAAGAAGAACAATACTTGGAGGATGGTTGACCTACCGAAGGATAAGAAGACTGTGGGTTGCAAATGGGTGTTCACAGTAAAATACAAGTAAGATGGATCTCTAGAAAGATATAAGGCTCGTTTGGTTGCAAAGGGCTTCACTCAAACATGTGGAATCGACTACATGGAAACTTTTGCTCCAGTAGTAAAACTTAATACTGTTAGAGTACTTCTCTCATTGGCAGCAAACCTGGATTGGTCACTACAGCAACTAGATGTCAAGAACGCTTTTTTGAATGGTGATTTGGAAGAAGAGGTGTACATGGATGCCCCACCGGGTTTTGACGGAGAGTTTGGCTCTAAGGTGTGCAGATTGATGAAGTCACTATATGGTTTGAAGCAGTCACCGAGGGCGTGGTTTGAGAAATTTACTTGCTCAGTAAAAAGGTAGGGTTATACACAGGCTCAAACGGATCACACAATGTTCTTCAAGCACTCACCAAGCGGAAGAATTACCATCCTAATTGTCTATGTTGATGACATTATCTTGACAGGGGATGACCCGGTAGAGATGCACAGCTTAAAAAAGAATTTAGCTACAGAATTTGAGATCAAAGACTTGGGCTCCCTCAAATATTTCCTTGGGATGGAGGTGGCAATGTCAAAGAAAGGAATTGTTGTAAGTCAATGGAAGTATGTGTTAGACCTACTGGATGAGACAGGTATGAGTGGATGTAAACCGGTAGATACACCGGTGGATCCCAATGTTAAGCTCAGCAACATTGGGGAAGGAGATCCAGTGGACACAACAAGATATCAGAAGTTAGTTGGTAAACTAATCTACTTATCCCATACGAGACCAGACATAGCTTTCGCAGTCAGCCTTGTTAGTCAGTTTATGCACTCACCCAGGAAGGAACACTTAGAGGCTACTTACCGTATTCTAAGATACTTGAAGAATTCTCCTGGGAGAGGTCTAATTTTTAAAAAGAACACTCAACGAGGGATTGAAATCTACACTGATGTAGACTGGGCTGGATCCTCCACAGATAGGATATTGTTCCTATGTATGGGGTAATTTAGTTACTTGGAGGAGTAAGAAGCAAAGTGTAGTAGCAAGGAGCAGTGTCGAGGCAGAGTATAGAGCAATGGCTAATGGTGTGTGTGAACTATTGTGGTTACAACGGGTGTTGAATGAATTAAAGTTGCTAATAGAAGCTCCTATGAAGTTATACTGTGACAACAAAGCTGCAATCAGCATTGCCAACAACCCTGTGCAACATGATAGAACCAAACATGTTGAAGTTGATCGGCATTTCATCAAGGAAAAGCTCGAAGGAGGTTTGATCTGCATGCCATTTGTTCCAACAGTACAACAAACAGCAGATATCTTCACGAAGGGATTGTTCAAGTCGACTTTTGATTTTTTTGTTAGCAAGTTAGGTTTGCATGATATCTATGCACCAACTTGAGGGGGAGTGTAGGAAATTAGAAGATTTTATCTTTTCAGTTTTTGAATTAAAGAGCCAAATCCCTTAGTTTGGGATTAGGATCCTAAGAGATAGGGAATTCCGGTTTTTCTAGATAAACACCGGATCTAGATAGGTTTAGATAAGATAAGAGCTTATTTGAATTTCTATGAGCTGTCAAGGGTACTTGGTATCCTATAAATTAGGTTTACGTTACACTAATAATAATAAGAGATAAAAGTAAGTTTTTCCCTTCAAAACCATCAATTATCAATGAAATTATTTTTTCTTACCCAAAAAAAAAAATCGTACCTTTTTAGCTAGTCAAGTTGTCATATCTCCTTCTATTTTCATCTGATCCTATTTAATCCTTTCGGAGGTAATGCTTTTGTAATATTAATGCAAAAATCTCCTGATGTGTTAGTGGTGAAAGAGAACTGCAAGTCTCTGACTGGAAGAAAGAGTTTGAGCATTAATCCTCGACACATATCTTGGTATTAAGTTCAGTACTATAGGTAGTTGGCGAGTTTTTTTCTTGTTGATCCCCTCACCTCTTAGGGTTTATTTTATTATTATTATATATGTGTGTGTAGTCTCATTCTTAGTGCAATTGTTTCGCCAGATGTGTTAAAAGTTTATCCTTTTTTTCAAGGCACTTTCTAATCTTAGTTTCTTTGCTGGCTGGTTTTGATGAAATTTGATCTCTTGCTTTCTGATTCAGAGACTTGATATATTGGAAGAGTTAGAGGATGCCTTTGGAGATCTTAGTGCTGCAGAAATGGGTAATCATGTTCTTCAAGTCCAGCACCGGGATTTCAATGAGTAAGATTTCTGTCGTTTTTCATTACCGTTATATGTTTGCTCTTTAGATGAATTTATCTCCTCCGATGGATCATAGACCTAGAAATCTCTGGAATTGAGATCTAAATCCTTAAGGGCCACTTACAAACAGGTTGACAAAACCTTTTTCATTTCTTTCAGCATAAAAACACGAAACTCTCTCTTGGGAAAGAAAAGTTCGTGCTTGGTGCTATAGTAGGAAATTCATGTTATATTTAAGTCGGAGTGTCTCTTTCTCAATTCTTTCAGGAGTGATTATGAGATGTTATTAATGCTTGACGAGCTCAATCATCGACATGCTGGGGCATCCGCTAATCAGATTAACAGCTTGCCACAATCTGTAGTACAGGTTGGTTAGAGATTCTGCTTCTTTCTGGGGTACCTGTGATGGATCAAGCTTCCAACAGTTATTTATTGCTATTAATAACCATTTATGTTTTCCATGTCCGACAGACGGACAACCTTGAAGAACCCTGTGCAATTTGTTTAGAAGCCCCCACAATTGGCGAAACTATTCGTCATCTCCCTTGTTTGCACAAATTTCACAAAGATGTAAGGAACGACTCTCTCATTCTTATGAAGATATCGTTTTTCTAGCAAAACATTTGTTGCATGCATCTGACTCATGTTTTCTTGTTCTTTCCTGATGATTGTTTTGTTCAGTGTATCGATCCGTGGCTTAGCCAAAAAACCTCATGCCCAGTTTGCAAGTCTTCCATCACTTGATCGTACTTCGACCGCCATCCTTTGGCCGGCTTTCAAAAGCCAATTATTTAAAAATTTCAAGCAATCTTATTTTGAGATTATTAAAGGTGATCAAAGTTTTTTTGACTTTGCTATTACTACTCCTATGGATGGATATTTTGTTGCAAGGATTAGACAAATTAGTGCCAGTTCCAGACTTGGCCATTTTGCTGATTCAGTCGGAGTAAAATTGCTAAAGTTCATAACTTCATATGTAATGGAAATATCTTCGAGTGGTGCTGACAATTTGCCCCACATATTTTCTAATTGATTTGTGTTCTCATGTTCCCGGTGGCGCTGATATTCGTAACCAACTTCTCTCCCTAGGATAAACTTTTTCCCATAAGGATCGTTCTATGGTGCCTGGGGTCTAATTCCTGGCATCAATGCGGATTTACAAGTATATCGTTGGAATTGCAACTCCACCGTTTAAAGTTCGCAAGCATATCGTCATATCTTGTAATTCTAACTTTCAAGTTCGCAAAAACACCACACTTGCAGCATTGGTGATAGAAATCCTTCTTGCGGCGTGATAGCACCACCCTTTCCCAAATGTTCTTATATGCGTGTGTATGGATGAGATTTTAATAGTTATGTTTGCATCGGTGGTTATCACAAAATATAAAAATTTGATGACATGTCGTGATAAGAATTCAGTTTTATTATCATAAATTTTTTTGTCAATTACATAATTTATTATAGCTGTCGAATTAATATTTTATAATTAAACAATGATACCTATTAATCGGTAAATATTAGAATAATCATTAAAACTACACTCTATATAAATATATATATATATATATATATATGAATAATACTCTTTTGTTTTGATGCATAGATCTTTTACGGCCTATTTAGTTCATAGGTTCAAACTAAAGTTTAAATAGTGATTTTGATTATGATTTTTGAAATTCTGTAAGAGAAAACATTGTGACAGAATCAAAATATAAATTTGAACCCGTGAAGAATCCGTGAAATCAACATATCTTTAATCTCTCTCATTTTGGGTACCGTTTAAAGTGAGTCCTAGTAATTTAGCGGCATTTTCACCATTGAGAAAGAGAGATGCTATTTAGAGCCAAGGTTTTCCTTAAGAGACCTATCAAAAAAACGTTATCATAAGAGAATTGCATATTTGACATTACCATATGTTATTTAGAGCTGGTGTGTATACCAATATGTTCGTCCGAAATCCTGAAACAATAAGCAATTATCTGAAAATCATCAATAACAAAATCCTTAAATGGAAAATCGGAAAGATGGTTTTGGTTCCCAAGTACAAAGAGGACTGGATGAAAATAAGTGAGCTCAATCACGTTTGTCTTAACTATTATCGCATTGGTAACATTTGAAACTACTATGAATCCACCACTATCTCTCTCTAACTTTACCTCTAAAAAAAATACAATAACATTGACTAATGGGTAGTGAAGCCCAACCTAAGTTGTATGAAGCATCATTTAAAGGATCATTTTGATACAAATAGATCCTTTGGTCCTGATTGCATTAGGCAACTTCTTTCCCACAAGCCGAAACTTGCTTTCAAATTAGATTCTAGCAAACAGTCACACTTCACTTGGCTTAAGCCGAGGGCCACAAAAAGGTAGTCCGAGCATTGTTACAAGAAAATGGTAATCAAAATATGTGTCACGTTAAAGACTAAGATGGTAGGATCTTTATCTATTACTCGGCCTTGAGAGGTAGGATCAATGTGATTATGTTGTTGATAAGATTTGGACAAGAGTCGGTGGTTTTTGATGGGCAAACAGTGTGGATTGGTGTGTGCTATAGTATACAACCATTTGGAGGCACTAAGTGTTGGTTGAATTGGAAGGTGTACATGAGAACTTCGAGGTCCTCAACTTAGAAGATTATGTTGATGGAAACACTTTTGCATTTACCTATGATGTTAATGTAACTTGAAGTTAGTTTGCTAGAGTAGAGATGTGAGAATGGGACCATAATGGTATGGCCTAGCCTAACAGTTCTCCTTATGTCCATGTGAACTGCAAGTCAAGCCTTATCTACCTATCATTTTAATGAGTCTATTCGGGCCGACCCACATTAATAAAAATGTTATTTACATAAATATCAATTATAAGCACTTTGTGTCTAAAAATGTCAACTTTTTTTGTTTATTTATAAAATTATCGAGTATCTCATATATAATGACAATTATATCCTCATATAAATGGAAAAAATGGAAAAAAAAATGATTGAAGAACAAAATAAGTAAGAAATTGGAAATTTATATAGCAAAATCAGCAACTAAAATAAAAGTCAACGCCGGAATATTAAATAAAATCAGCATTTAATAAAATGTATTCATTTTAAACAAAAGAAAATTTTCTTAAATGAAAAAAAAGTACTGAATCTTTTAAAAACGGTGGCTCTTTTACTTTGCCCCTAAAAAAAATCCCTAAAACTCTGCACCCACTACATCTGCTCCAAAACCAGTCCTAAAAATTCTTCTCATGGAAATAATGGTTAAATCATAATGAAAATGAAAGCAAAGCAATAAGTAATATCATTGACAGAAAATTATTAAAAACCAATATAATAAAGAAGAATTATGATCATGCCATAATGAAGAAAAAATTCTAAAAAAGAAGAAACATAAAACCTCGCAAGAAAATATAAACGTAAAGAAAAATATTTTCTCTAAAATAACAATCGGACCATAATGAAAGACAATTGCAAAACAATAAATAATATCATTCCAATAAAGAAGAAATATGATCAGAGCATAATGAAATAAAAATTCTAATAAAGAAAATACATAAAATCTAACCAAAAAATATGTACATAAAGAATAAGTATTTTCACTAAAATAATTATTAGATCATAATGAAAATGAAAAATAAAACAATAAGTAATATCATTCATGGAAAATAATCAAAAAACAATACAATAAAATGGAAATATGATCAGACCATAATGAAAGAAAAATTCTAAAAAAGAAGAAAGATATAAAATCTCGCAAGAAAATATGAATGGAAAGAAAAGATATTTTCTTTAGAATAATGATCAGACCATAATAAAAGACAATTGTAAAAAAATAAATAATATCATTCCAATAAAGAAGAAACATTCAAATAAAGAAGGAAAAAAAACCCACAAAACTATAAAAAAAAAAAAATAATTGCACAGTCATTTATACCTAAAAAGAAAAGTAAATATGTAAAATATTATTAGAAAAATAACAGATTATATAAAACAAAATTTAACCATAAATGGAACATACCCTAAAATAACTTGTTAGGGCATATCCGATAACATATATACCTTATTCGGCCCTTTTTAATATTATATAACAGTCGATATTTTTAAAATTACACCTTCAATAATTGATATTTTATGTAATTACTTCTTAACAAAACCCTTGGTCCACCCCACAGCATGAGACACTTTTTTGGTGTTCTAGGCTTAACGGTGCCATTGGCTAGAAAGGGTCCCAATCCTTATGACTCGGTATTTTCCTTTTTTTTATTTTTTATTCTTTTTTAACATATTAAAATATTTGTTTGATTTGCTAAAACAAGATAATAAATATTAAAAATCTAAAAGCAAACAATACCAAAACAAATATATTAAAGCAGTATAAATGTGCTTTTCATAATTTTTTTTTATGGAATTATACTTTTCCTATTTATATATAATAAGTGATATATTCTTTAATATTGTAATATACATTCTATAAAAATGTATTACACATAAGCCCAAAATTGTATTGAGAAAGTCTTCATCTTATGGATATGGGAAATTCTAAAAAGTTACCCCTTAAAATGGAGCTCCTTTTATTTCTATCCCTTAATATTAGTCCATAATTTTTACTTTTTAGACTAGAACTTGTCAAGTGGTAGAATTTTTTAAAAGCGATACTTTTAGTAAGTTAAGTATTTAAGGAAGTAGAATCTAAAATTTTCTTTGTAGATATTGATTGGGTGAGAGATTTCTTGACTGTCTAGTTGTTTTTCAGTATCAAGGAAAGGGGATCCAAGAAGCCAGTCCAATAACGGTGGAAAACCAGTAACAGGATATCACATAAATAAGGCAAGGCGTATCAGTAATCTCATATGAATTCCATTAAGAGGACAAGGAAGTGTGACAAAGCTAAATCCAAGACATCAAATCAGAGTCACAAAACATAAGCAAAGAGAGAATCTCCTAATTTGAGTTTTAAAACAGTTTTGGTCTCTTGACACTAGGCTTTCGAAATTTTACGAAGATAATCACTCACTGATTTACAACATGTGTAATTTAATCTTGTTTTAAAAAACACAAAAAATCACATAAGATGTAAATGGTTCTAATTCTCAAGAGTTCGAAGGGCAATTAAGAGACTATTTTACATTTTAGGAGACTGATATAAACTTCTAAATTATCATGTGGTAAACATATGATTATCTCCGTTTAATTTTAAAAAATCTCATCGATTTTATGATAAAGGACCAAAACCACCAAAACAATTTTTAATTAAGAAACTTATTGGTCAAGAAAAAAACCATACTGATGGTTCAGAGACTAACATACCAAGTACTTACCAAAAACTTAGGTTTATAGTTTCTAGCCAATTCACCTTGAAAAATTTACCAGAAACTAAAGATCTCTTTAACCATATAAAAAATTTTTTGGAGCCTTTTCATGCATGCTTAATCCACGTATTGACAGAAAGAACAAAACAAATACTTACGTATAACATATATATATATATATATATTAAGTTACTAATTGCTTTGCTTCAGTGTGTTTGTGTAAACAAACAGAACCAATCCCCCTATGACAGGATTCTTTAAGAAGAAATAACACCAATCTTATTACATCTCCCTGCTATGATTTTGCAATCGCAACCATGACATTATTGGTAGGAACTGCAGCAAATGATAATTGACTACCGAGCATCTTTGGATAGGAGACTATTGGTTGCGGCCACCCTCGCATTGCAAAGCTCATCCGTGTGACCGGCCCTTTCAAACACTGCAGCCGCCCCCATTCCTGTGCCTATGCACATTGATATCACGCCAAAACGGCAGTCTTTGCCACGACGCTTCATCTCATGCAATAAAGTAGCAACACAACGAGCACCTGCAATTGATTGAAGGTCTCATAAATACCTCATCTAATATGAAATACATAGTTTACATTGTATATTCCATAACTAACATTCAGTTGAAAAATTCTGGGTTATTTCCAGTGAACAAAAGTAAACCTATGAACAGGGGCTTATCAGTCCGAAAGAGCCTTTGAAACAAGGGGGAAAAAAAAATCCCAAATCTATGTGGATAAATAGAATCCAAAAAATCAAACCAAAGCACGGCACATTTAAGGCGTAATAAGACATCTGTAAAGCATAAATTTTCACATGCCAAAATGTGCATCTAACATGAATAAGTATGTCCGTTTATGTAGCAGAACACCATGCAAATATCAAATCTAAGTCGGTTAAATTGTATATGACCTTCACTCTTCAAGATGAACATGCTTTGTTCACGCATAAATCCATACTTTAAACACTTAAAAGTAACAACCTGTATTAAAACATATACATAAATAACTACACATGAAATATTCAGTACCTGTTGCACCCAAAGGATGTCCAATAGCCATTGCACCACCATTAACATTGATCTTTTCAGGATCAAGACCCAACTTGTTACGGCAATATACAAATTGGGAAGCAAATGCCTGTAAGTTGTCACAAGTTTAGTGTCAATTAGTACATTTTTCATTTCATAAAAAGACAGACAAACCGTGGCAAGATTAAATCTTTAACAATATTTTAATACCTCATTTATCTCAAAGAGATCAATATCATCCAGCTCGAGACCAGCAGCCTTCACTGCCGCAGGAATTGCAAAAGCAGGGCCAACACCCATGATGGCAGGATCCACACCTACAGCAACAAAATTCCTGCACAAGCAAAACATTGCCATAAAACTTGTAGCTTGTTCTACAATATTTGATCGAGAAACACCACAAAACTGATTACATTCATAAGGACAGTTACACTTGACAGGGTGGAGGATGAGTTGATGAGCTTAAAAGGCTAATGTATCTCCAAAAGAGACAAAAATACAACGTGGAAAATGATCAATTATGTTGCTGGGAAGAAAAAAGATAACCCATTTACCTTGACCCCATTACTACATAAGCTATTGGATATTATAACGTGATTTCAAATTATAATATTACACTAAAAAAATTCCAAAAACAATGCAGATCACGTGTCAAGAGGAAAAATTTTAGACAAATCATCTCGAGTTAACAAATTCTCTTTAATCTCCCACAAACAAAAGCCGTGAGCAGATTTTTTATTCAACGTATCAAAAAAATTCATCAAACAAATCGAAATCTTTGTTGAAGAAACACAAAGATGTCTCCGAACCAAAGGTCATGGATGAGAATCTTAGCGTAGGTTTATCTAGCAGGTAGGTAAGTTTCAAACACCATGGACCTAACATAGGAGTGTCAGGGAAGACAAAATACAAATCTGCATGCACGTGAATTGAAAATGCTCAATGAATAGTGTCCAGGAAAAGATACCTGAATATACCAAGAATTGGCAATCCTTTCTTCTCCGCAACACTCCTCTTCATGAGGAGAACAGCTCCAGCACCATCACTAACCTGGCTAGAATTACCTGACAGAGCAACAACAGAAAATGTTACTTATCAATCCTACTAATAGAGGATTTTCAAATAGGAGGTGAAAAGAATAACATCCAAAAACGGGGGAGAGGAACCTGCGGTGGTGGTCCCATCTTTCTTAAACACCGGCTTCAGCTTTGCCAGATCTGACAATGTTGTGTTGGGCCGGATACCGTCATCAACAGAAATTGTAACTGGTTTCTCGCCACCAGTTTTGGGGTCAACAATCTGTTGATGTGACATAAATGAGTGTCCCAACAATAGTCAGATATCGATGGCATATCCATGTCTGCGAAAACTGAATAACTTAAGAAAAATAGTAGGTACCTTGGTGGCCACAGGAATGATTTCATCCTTAAATTTACCAGCAGCAGTAGCTGCAGCAGCCCGCCTATGAGACTCGACCTAACAACATAAACAAAAATAAATCAATAAAAGATGATGTGTTTCCTATTGCAGCACTATCTGAAGACAACAGGTTTTTTCAACTCACAGCAGCCTGATCCTGTTCCTTCCTTGATACACCAAAGCGACTCGCAACATTTTCCGAGGTAACCCCCATGGGAAGAAGGCAATTCTGGGCTTGTTCGAAGATCTTCACCTGTCATCAGTAAATCAAAATCATATAAGATTCTTCAAGTCATAAGAACTAAATTTTGGGGTAATTAGTCGCATGTTGAGGAGAAAAAGAAAACGAATGCAGAGCAGGAGATACATACTTTTGGGTTGACTGACCCTTCCCATGCCATTGGATTCATTGTCATTGATTCCAATCCAGCACCAATACCTACGAAAGTGATTAGAAAAATAATAAATTAATTAAACTGGTCCACTATGTTAAAAGTAATCAATTGTAAGACATCCAAAAAAATAATTACCAATATCATAAAATCCCGCTCTAATCGCAGCAGCTACATCCGCAACTGCCTGAAGCCCGGATGAACATTGCCTGTTCACAGTTCTTATCGGAACAGTTTCTGGAGGCACAAATGCAACATGCATAAGTAAATAAACTCACAGAAATTCTCAAGATCGATACCTACAAAGAAGCATACCAGGGAAACCAGCATAGAATGCAGCCATCCTGCATTCACTTGCCCTTTGGGAACCTGGTGCCAAGACTGTACCCACAACGATATCCCCAACCTCACTCGGATTCAAATTGGTTTTCTCTATCAATGCCTACAGAATAAAGGCCAGGTTTCACCATATAGATGAACCAGACCTCATTCTTTCAATAAGTATGAGGAAGCTAACCAACATAAAACAACATCAAACACAAAAACAAACCTTCAAAACCGGTGCGAGGAGATCATCAGCGTGAGTGTCCTTAAAGCCCCCACGTTTGGATTTGCAAAGTGGGGTACGATATGCTCTGTAAGTCGATATGAATAAATGTTACCCATTAATAGGTCTCTCTCTTTCACAAAGTATAGAACTCATTGGACAATTCTCTGATAGGATAAATATATATATATATATGTATATATATATATATATATATATGTATGTATGGGCACAGTTTTGAACCATTTTATTTTCATCTTTTTGCTGATGTAGTATCATATGATTACGATGTAATCTGATGGTTTAAAATTGTACACAAAATTTTCTTAAATTTATTGTCCATTTCCAGCTTTATGAGAATCAAAAATTGAATAAAGGAACTTACGCAACAATGACCACGTCGTCACCAAACACATTAGTCCTTTGGTATGCAGCGCTATCCCCAGCTAAACATACTGATGCCTGGTTCCAAACCAATTACAATTTCCAAATCAAAATTTTTAGTTCACTATTTTCCTTCAAATAAACAATTTCAATTCAAAAAATTATAAAAAAAAATGGAAAATTGGAATCCAAAGCCAAACACACTGATGCCTGATTCCAATAACAGTTTCCAAATCCATACTTAGCGTAATGTTTTCTTCGGAATCAAATAAACAATTTCAACTTAAAATTATTGAAAAAAAGGAAGATTTGGCATACAAATTATCCAGTATCTTTTTCAGTTATAAGTTAAGAGTAACAGAATCTGAAAGGCAAATAAAAAAAGAGAAACCTTAAAAAAACTAGGTTTTCCGAAATGGAATTCCCAAAAACCCCAAAAAAAAAAAAAAAAAAAAAAAAAAAAAAAAAAAAATTACAATCGATTCGTTCGAACGAATAATTATCGGTGAAATCGAACCAAAATTTAACGAATCAGGATTGAAAATAAAATTAAAAAAAAAAAGATAGAAGTAAAAGAAGAATCTCGAAGAGAAAAGGAAATTACAGAGAGATTAGAAGATTCGGCGGATGAAGAAGTAGGACGAAGGTGGTCGAGCAAAACTCGCTGCCTGTTGATCGCTCTCTCCATATCTGAATTCTTTTTGAGCAATGAAACTTACACGCAAAGAAGATGAAGATGATAAAGATGATGAAGAAGAAGAAAATGGTGATTCAGTCACGAAAAGCTTCTGTCCTTTTATATGGTCAATAATCATCTCTTTGGCGGTTGGATCTGCGTCTTTCTCTATCTCTCTATTTCCGAGAAAAAAAAATTATATATAATAGAATAATAAATAATATTATCAATAATTGCATAGAAATATTCCTTAAAAGATTTGGTACGGAAAAAAAGAAATTGAAGTTATTGGAAGTTATTAGAAATATTACTAAACTAAATATATTAATATGACTAGCAAGAAAAACTAAATAGTAATATTATGATGTACTTAAATTAAATGATATACAAGTGCATAATATTATGATGTACTTAAATTAGGATTGTAGAACTTATTACCATTTTTTGAAGGGTTGATACCATTTTCTTTTTTTTTTCTTATATATAAAACCATTTTCTTAGTACATATAAATACCTTTCATATAAATTTTTTAAAACGGAGAATATGATTGTGCGTGTATCAATTTTATATTTTATTTTTATGTTGTTTTGAAGATATTATACATTTTTTCTTAAAAAAGAAGATGATTTAAAAATAAGAAAAAAGGAGATAATTTATACCTATATATAAATGTTTGTTTTTTATGTTCCTTTGAAGATGTTATACATTTGTTTCTTAATAAAAGAAGATAATTACAAATAAGAAAAAAGAAGACAATTTATACATATTTGTTTTTGTTTGATAAATGAAGATATTTCATATTTATTCTTTTTTATGCTATTTATTTGTTTGTGCATAAAGATAATAGAAGATATTTTATAAATATTTGTATTTGTTGATAAATGGAGATATATATATATTTTTGAAAGTAGATATATTTTATATTCATTCTCTTTTTGTTTAGAAGATATTTTATAATCATTTGTCCATAAATTCATAAAGATGGTAGAAATTGTAATAGAAAGTGGACAATTTGGTGACGAAAAGGAAGGCGTCACTAACACCCATCCCTATGGCGCATGGTTTGTAATTCTAGTCACTTTTTAAATTTTAGTACTATTAATATTTTAGCCTAACAATATTGACAAGTAGTTGGCCATTGGGTGACTTTTGGTTTCTGGTGTAGTTAATTAGATTTTATCCTTATCTCAATCCTAAGTGACTGGATTGTTTGAGGAAAGTAATATATTTTTTTTCTTTGAGGATTGTTTTGTTTTCCCATTCTAGTTTTTTTATTAGTTTTATTTCCCTTAAAAGAATAAGTTATATCATTTTTTTTAAGATTTTTTCTCGACTGTTTAATCCAATTATTATAATATAATTATATCTAATAATGAATAAAAAATATACTTTTTTAATTTATATTTTAATATACTTTTACTGGTAAATATTTTTCTTTATTTATAGCACACGTTTTTTATTTTTATTTTTGCTATTAAATAAAAAAATTTCAAAAGTTCGGAAAGGAAATAATCTTGAAAAACTCTGGTGATTAAACAATTTAGAAAATTTCTTTCAATATTTCTGTCTTCACATGTAGTCGTTTATTTGGCGTAAGTGTGATGTGTTGATTAGTGGACAGAAATTCAGGCTGTGGGATGCGTGCCCTCCTGGGGAATTGGGAAAGGGGCAAAACCAAGATGACGATCAAACGAAACAAATACTATTTTATTTTTAGTTGTATCTAAGGTTAACAATCTCGACAGAGACATCATGATACAGTTTAAAATACGCACAAAATTAATAAGTTTACGTTTATTATAAATAGGTTTGATTCATAATTAACTTAACATAATTAATACGATTAATAAATAAATTAGATTAGAGTTGACCTCATAATTTAAAGTGATGAATTGACACGATTAATTATATGTATTATTTATAATATAATGATATGTGATATAACATGAAAATTTATATGACATTAAATATAAATAATGAGAATTTTAATATTTGTAAGTAAAATTAGTTTATTTTTTAAAGAAAAAGATAAATTGATTAATAAACACGTTAAATTTGTCTTACCAGTGTTAAATAAGTTATTATTATATTAATTATTTATTCAATATATTAATTTAAATAAGTTATATAAGTTAACACGATTAACACGATTAATAAACAGGTTGTGTTTGGATTGACATTTTTCATACGTTTAATAAACATGTCGTGTTTAGATTAATATTTTCTGACACGATTAATAAATGAGTTGATACAAACACGACTCACTAACACGAATTGTCACTCTTAATTGTATCCTCTACTAATCATGTATTTATTCCAACTCATCTAATTATGTCAAAAATGTATAATACTATGAAGTTGAACAAAATCTATTGTCCACTGTTTGAACACCATTTAAAAAAAAAAAACAGTGAGAGAAAGAAAGAAAAAAAAAACATCTACTGTTTATTTATAGGCAATTTCCCACGGTTCCTTTTTTGCTAACCGTGTGATAGGAATCGTGTGGCATGTAGGGCCAGTTCGGTAGTGCTGTAAATTTTGAAAAAATTACTTTTAGCTGTGCTAAAAGAAAAAACAGTTGTTACAAAAAGTAACTGAGTGTTTGGAAAATAATAATTATACAATGTTGCTGGTTCCCAAAGTAGTGTAATAGCGTTTGGTAAATTATGAGGTTGAATTGCTGTGGATAGTTAAGATGATCAAAATAAACATGGTATGAAATTTAAATATGCATAATTTTGTTATTAAGAAATACTTGTTTAACTGAAAAAAAACATAATTTGGTGTTGAGTTTTCTAACATTAAATTTATAATAATTATTTTTTTTTCATTTCTTCATTGACAATATGTAGTTATAACAAAAATGAGCATTAGTGATTAATCAACATGTACAATCTAATTTAACATCAAGATAGAGACAAAATATAATTTCATTCTAAAAAACTGGTGGAGTCATTTTGTGAATTAGGTAGTGCTCATTAAACTTGCTGCAATTTGATCTCGTACTTCATCTATTTCTTGCGATAGTAAAGCACTAGTAGCTTGATTTTCTTCTACATTGTTCTCTACTTGATTCTCTTCATATACGAAATCATCTGGATTATCTGTGACTTTTTGAAAATGTCGATCACTCTTAGCATGCCTCCTAATATAGTTATGAAGCGCCATTGTTGCAATAACTATTTTCATTACTTTGTGAATGAATAATTAAGCATGTCTCTCAAAATTTTTCATTATTTTTTCCACACACCAAAGGTGCGTTCAATAACACTTCTAAGAGAAGAATGTGCTTGGTTGAATACCTCCTTATAGCCTGTTGGTTGACGACTCATTCAAAATTGTCGTAAATGGTAACTTTCTCCTTTATATGGTCCAAGAAATCCTTTCAATTGTGGATATCCTGCGTCAACCAAATAATATTTACCTATTGAAATAAAAACACATGAATTAGTTAAATGTAAAAAATATATTACATAAATAAAGGTAAGGTTTTAACATTCTGGTGGTTTTTGAAAATTCAGATAAGGTTGACGTAATGCTGATAAGAATATTCTTGTATTATGGGCACTACCTTCCCAACCTACATAGGCATATATAAATTGCATACTGAAATCACATGCAACCATGACATTTTTGGTTGGAACTCGCTTTTTTCTAATAAATGGCACTTGATCTTTAGGTGGTGTTGAAGCTGGAACGTGTACACCATCTATTACGCCAATGCAATTCTAACAAGAAGAAAGTTTTCTGTATAAATAAATGTAATTGACATATCAAAGGAAGCATGTAAAAACTTATGAATTTACCTTAAAATGTGGCATATATCTATAATCCATTAGTATCTCTTGAGGCACATCATTAAACTTTGGATTAGGTGGCTTTATAACATCGATGCTCATAAACATACAATATGCAAAACATAATCAAAATATCTACCCATTATCTCACCAGAGTGTTGAAATCGCTTTTGTGCTGAATGATTTTCTGTACCCTGACCTAAAATTAATAAAAACATTCCAATTATTTCAACCACACACGCATTTCTTAATCCCTTTAACCCATAGTGACTTTGCAAATCATTACATTGTCATGCCCCAAAACAGGGGTTAGTAACGTGGAGGCTTGTTTAAAAATTAAACCGGATTAAGAAAGTAATTAATCATTTGATAACACCAAAATCAATTTCAAGAATAAAATATGTAAGAATTTCCAAACGAACCTCATAATTTGAAAGAAATTAGATTTGTAAGAAATGTGATGGGGATTTCATAATTTAATAATATAAGTTCAAAATTTAGCCTCTGGTATCATATTAGAATTCTCTGGCATCATACATAGACAGAACGGAAAAAAATAAGGTATTGATATCAACCACATTTTAGGAGCAATTGAGGTTACAAATCATAGAATTATACATGCCTTAGAAATATACAGTAAGGATAGAGGTGACTACAACTTCTTCACTTCTTGAGTTCGAGCTAGTATCACCGGTACTGTCTATCTACACGACATTGCTTCTAGCATCACCTGGGAGGGGTTTAAAATATTAAAAACAGAATAAACAGTGAGCGAAAGACCCAATAGTATATAACTCCATAAAACTTTATCAATAAAAGGGAAAGTAATCCATAAATTCAAGTTTCATATGCTAAATAATAATTCATAGTAATATGATAAATTACTCACCTTATCGCAAAGTCATGATATCGCCACCCACACTATGGAGTAACCCGTACAAGTTTCGGGAGCTATCCCTAAGAATATGATCTACATATCCCGATCTCTCAATTCAACATAATAGGAGTTTAATAGCATAATTCATGTTATTTCCTCAAAATCGCTTTACTTTATCAAACCTGCTTTGTCTACAAAACATCATTTTAAGCCAATTAACATTTATAACAGGACTAACAAGGATGTGGTCAAGAATATCCTACCTTTTAGATATAAATTTTACGGATCACTTCTCGTTGGCCTAGCCCCGACTATCTTTGAAGCTTCAATGTCTGATCTTGTCGCTAGTTCCATTATCAAAATAATGTTTTAGAACTTAGACCTCGCCTTTAAAACAAATCAACCTTAATTATGTACAATTGCAACATACTAGTATGCCTTAACTCAAAACCAAAGTTTATAAACAACTTCATAATCTAAGTTAAA